GATGGTGTTCTTGACTTTATGAAAGTCTGTGCAAAAGGGTAATAAACAGAGAGTTAAAGGAGAAATTGTGTTTTGTCCATGCCTTGGTGCGTGTAGAAGAAATCCCAAGGTGCTTAAGGATGATTGATGTCTCTAAAACATCAGATAGATTGTTTATACATTCTGTTTCTGGTAGAAGCTTCATGAGATGCATAAGAGTTTATTTCCCTTAGTGATTTTTTTGATTCGTGTGAAGATTAAGCCGATACAAGTGTGTATCATATTAAGATCTTCATGTGTACCTTAACGAGGTGCAAGAATTACTATGCAAATGGTAAGTCATGTGGTTGGTGTTTCAAGAATCAAAGTACATGGCTTCTCTGATTGAGACTGATGTCTTAAATGATGTTGGGACATCATTCTTGCTATTGGTTATTCTTGGAGGATGACTGAGTTTGATTTTCATCTTTAGAGCTATATCTATTCATTGTGGAGTATAGTGTAGAGCTTCTGGTCAAGACTGTGTGGATTCTGATTATCTGTGAGTAGATGGTAGGTTATGTTGGAAGTATCTCTAGAAAAGATTGTATCAGACTTAATCTTAAGAAGGAAGCAGGCTGAGGATGTATCTCTCTTCATATGGATAAGGGGTTTGATGTTCTCCACGTGTGTATGACATTTTGGCTAACCAAGGAGTTAAGAGAATTTGTATGTCTCGTTCGGGGATGTGAGCATTCCATGTTTGATTGGATTTATTCTCAAAGAACAAGGTTGTCTGTGGATGTAAGATTTCGGATGGATTTGTATAGTGTGTGGATGTGTTCAGGGGGAGAGTGATCAATGGTGTTATTTAGTCTCAATCCAAGAGTTTATTGGTTATGGTACAAGGATTGTGATCCTGGTATTTTCTCACTTATAAGCATGAAGATGTTCATGTGAGGTTGTGATGTCAGACAAGATATCTTGACATCGTGGTGTGTTGATACTTTAGCTTAGTAGAGTTCTGCTTGTGAGTTTGAATTGTTAAGGCTATTGAATTATTTCAACTATGTTCATAATTTTTAGAAGAGACCTGAGAAATAGGATTAGATATTGTTTAGGAGAATTTATTTTTCTCTGCAGATTGGGATAAGGTCCATAAGAGCTTTTGTTGATAAATGGGAGATATCATACATAATGTCTTGACATCATGGTCAGGTTTTTCTAGTTATGGCTGAAAGGAGTATGCTTGGAGTTCATTGGAAGGCATTGTGACTATACTTCAAAGTCTACAAGAAAGAGTAGACAAGGTCTGACTGGGCGTCAGGAAATTGTTTAGGACTCGTGTTTGTTTACAAGTGGCTCTATGTGGACGATGGAAAACGTGCCTTAAAGAGGGCGTGCAAAACATGTTTCTTCGGTACATGCATATTCTTTGGACAATTCTCATTAAAGAAGAAACAGTCAAAACTGAGTTAGCCGGTGCACATTCTTTTTTGCTGAAGTTATCTTCCTCAATTTACATTCTCATTGAATTGATCTTCAGTAATATCAATGGCTCGTTAATTCCTAAGGAAACTGCTCGGGTATTTAAAGGGGGTCTTTGATTCTTTTGTCTCAAGTTGTATTTTTATTGTGTCGTGATTTTATGACATTTGTTCAGGTTTGGGCGAGTACTATTTGGGTATGGAATTGTGTTGGATACTTTTGCCAATTTTTGGTTTAAAAAGGGGATATAGGTTGTGTATCTATCTCAATTGTGTGTTGTTCCTTGCAATTCATGATTGATATTCATTTGTGTCTTGAGTCCGTTCTTGTAGTTGTTTTGCAATGATGTTCTAACATCCTGTCTGTGTCTCAATTCTTTTTGTTCTGAGTCTTCTTTTTGTGTCTTGTGATCTGAGTTATGAACACAGTTGTGTCTTGTGTTCTGAGTTATTCGAAGTTGGGGTTTGGTCCACTGAGCCTTGATCTGGATAATGGAGGATGGTAAATTGGGACTGGTTTTGAGGGGGAATGTCTTGTATCTTCCTCCTCATGTACATCAGGGCAAATGGTACACATCATACAACAGATGGTGTGTGCTGTGTAAATCATCCGAACAACTATACATAAAGAATGAAAGCTTCTAAGAGTTGCATTATTTTCTGCTAAACTCGTCATAGGCCGGATGAAATGACTTTAGGACTTTCTACTCTTTCTATTCCTTGATTTCCTGGGTTTATTGTACAAAAGGAGTTTTAACCAAAACTTGTCAAAAATGGGAGATTGAAGGCTCTAAAATTTGACTAAATTTTGGTAAAACATGATGTTGAACAAGATGTTCTAATATGAAGAAATTTTTAAAGAACAACATGTTGGACAAGATGTCCTATCTTGAGGACTTGACATCTTGGTCTGATACAACAGATTTGTTGCAGACCTGTTCCAAGATTTAAGGCGCAATCAGAATATGAATCGAGGAATGATTGGACAGAGATTTTGAAGTCCATGGACAGCTGAAGATTATAAAAGGAAGACCAAGACCTAGGGCAAATCACTAGTCCTTGTTAAGACTTTTGTAAAGCAAAAATAAGGGTTTAGGATTTTAAGAGTCGTGTGCTTTTCTTGTATTGTAAGTCATTCTTTGTATCGGTTCGATACATTGTGGTAGACATAGTTTTTCATATTTAGAAACCTGTAGGTAATGAATTATATATTATTTTTAGATGAAGCTTTTAAGAAAATTCAAGTATTAGTGTTAGTCAAGAGTATTGACTAAATATTGTGTTGAAAGGGTTGTCTTTCAATTGAATAGTTTGATATAGTCACCGAAGGTTGTGACTGTTAGATATCACTGAGGTGATTTAGGAGTTGAGATGAGTTTCTCTTATCTAGATGAGTTTCTAGGTAGAAGTTGCACTGAGTAGGGAATTAAGTGATAAGTTATCGGAGGTTGTATACTTAGAATTAATACTACTAATGGTGAATTCATTCCTGCCTTGATAGTCTCCAAATGTAGGTGTTGTTGTACACTGAACTGGGTCATCATATCTTGATGTTATTTATCATTCTGTTATGTATAATTCAATCTATTTTATGTTACAAAATATATGTCTTAACAGATGTTGAAACATCTGTCATGACACTGTTATGACTTTGAAATATCAAAATATTCTTATTTTGTCCTTGTTTAATAAAGGAGAGATCAATGTCTCAACATTTCTTGAGATATTTGAGATCTGCATACTAGAATTTTACTAAGAAATATTAATGATCATGATTGATGCTAAAACACGCAATTAATGGGAAAGTAAGAAAATCTAGTCGAAATCTGCCGTAAAAGGGGTATGATAGATAGTATTTTCCCTTGAGTGAATCTACATGCTCATGCTCAGTATTAAATAACTAACTAGAGAGTTTGAAGGCAATTCTCTTGAAATGATTACATATTCAAAAAAAATTCTTAAAATATTAAAAATACGTGAGTTTTTAATTTATAAACTATTCAATTTTCATTTTTTTTTAAAGTAATGTAAAACTTCTTACTCACACTTATATAACAACACCAATATCTAATCTTTATCTTGAAGATCTAATATTCAAATCATCATTTAAAATATTGAGTTCTTGAAACCTCTATTTCTCCCTATAAAGACATATACTAGTTCAATTTATTCATCTCACCTCAAAATTGAAATATTCAAATTTTACATATTGTATATAATTAATAATGTACCCACCACTCTTTAAATGAGAATCAATCCGACAACAATATAGTATGTACGAATTACATAAAACTAAAAAATAAAAAATTGAAAAAGATATGATATCGCATATGATGTGGTGGGAGCACCTTAATTTTTTGTCTTTAATAAGTTTCAGTGCAATCTCCTTTATCCTTCCCGAATATATTACACGTACACTTTTGCTCTTTCTACCTTCTCATCTCACTATCTCATCATTTTTGAATTCCCATGTCGCTTTCGCTTCTACTCTAATTTTTCTTTTTTTTTTTGGCGCTCTCTCTTTTTCTAACATTCATCATCATTTTAAATTCTAATAATAATATAGATAAATGCAACTATATTATTATATCATCACATGTCATATATCATAAAGATTATTATATTAATTACCGCTGCTGCACTCTTCTCAAATTTCTCAGCTTCTTTACCAATTTCAGGTTCTTTTCCTCTAAACATCTTATGCATGATCTTGTTCTTTTCTCTCTGTATAATTATTCATGCTACTGGTAATTCACTTTTCATTTCAATTTTCAATTGATTTTTTTTTTCAGTTTTTATATTTCTATTTTTGTGGTTGCATGTGTGGTAAACTTGATAATAAATTATCAATCCTTGGAACAGAAACATCATAGATATGTTTGTTGTGTACAATTAAGGAAAATCAACAAACACCTAGTTGCAATTTGTTGTTCTTTATTACAAATTTATACCTTTTGTATGGTTGGTGTTATTTATGCTTCTTAAACACCTACTTGTTTGGTTTTGATAATTTTGAAAACTTTGGGCTTGTTTGGAAATTATGAGTCTCTTAATGAGGGAGGTAAATGTTTGCCAGAGAGTTTTAATTGTTTATCTGATAACAATCTTGCTCTATTTCTATGTCTAGGTATTGTTGTTTGAGGTTAGTTAGGCTGAGGTTTCATTTACCAGTTATCATCCAAGTGTTGAATTCAATTCTCGTAAAGTCGTTTTGTGGCTGTATAAGCATCTGCAACTGAATTGTGTTCTTTCTGAAGCTGAGAATTGATTTTTCATTTTCTCTGTGATAGTTTTCAGGTAATATTTTTATATGGAGTTTAGCTTGTAAAGAGTGATGCTACAACGTAGGGATCATAGGTTACCAGGAAAATTTTGCCTATAACGTTTTTCTGGTTATTTGTAATAGCTCGTAACGCTAATGATCTGTGTTATGTTTTGTGTGCATTTGTGTGTATATGTTGATACTGCTTTGTATCGACGAACTTAATGTTAGTATAATTTCCCAGCAATGTTATTCTGTCAATGACAGTAGGAGGTGAAGTGGTTTAAATTCAAATGGAGCAATATGAAGTTCTAGAACAGATCGGCAAAGGCGCATTTGGTTCTGCGCTGCTTGTGCGGCACAAACATGAAAAGAAAAAGTGAGCTCAAATGTTGATTTAAGATAATCTATCTATCCTTTTGCATGTTGATTTTTTAAGTTTTTATATGTCAATGTATGCATTTCACCATACACTGATTATTAACTGTGTTATACCATATGGTGTTTATTTTTATATGTTGATGTCATTTACATTTTAGGTATGTTCTCAAGAAGATCCGTCTTGCTCGCCAAACTGACAGAACCCGCAGATCGGCTCACCAGGAGGTAATCCACTCCTTTTTAGTTCCTACTTTGCAGTTATTTGAGGAACATGGAATCAAGTTCTTGAGTTGAGTGGAATATATCCTTCTTTGGGGTTTTAAAGTGTACTTTGTTCATTTTAATCAATTTTCCATTTGAATTTGAATTTTTTATTTAAAGTGAACTTATTTCTATTTGTTGTTTTATATCTTAAAATGTGAAACATGATATCTGTGATGTCTTCTATATTAGATTGTAAGATGCCATGATAGTTCATTGTTTTGCAGATGGAGCTTATATCTAAAGTTCGCAATCCGTTTATTGTGGAGTATAAAGATTCTTGGGTGGAAAAGGTCAGCCTTGTTTTCTATCGGAACCTTCTAATTCTGTTACAATCTTGATTGATTTATGATACTTAGCAAGTTGCAATCTTTATATGCAGGGTTGTTTTGTATGTATTATCATCGGCTATTGTGAAGGAGGAGATATGTGAGTCATGTTTCACACTGAATTCGATTATTTGACAAAGTCATAGCATTTGCGAAGACATTTTTGTCTTTTAATTGTCAGTTATGCCGTCTTTTAATAATTGTTTATGGTCACCAGGGCTGAAGCTATAAAAAAGGCCAACAGTGTTAACTTTTCTGAAGAGGTTCGTCACAATTGCCGCAATTCCCTTAACTTCTGAGCCCGATGTATACTTTTCATTCCTGTTTAATTTCTCTTTGAAACTAAGTGAAATAATTGATATCCGTCAACTTTCTGACAGAAACTCTGCAAGTGGCTTGTCCAGTTACTGATGGCACTAGATTACTTACATGTAAATCATATTCTTCATCGGGATGTTAAGGTAAAAGACTTCTTTGAGTTCAATAACAGTAGACGTTATATAGCAAACATCGCAGAGAACTTTTGAACCAGCTTTGTGCTGATGTTAATTTCTCGTCTCTTTCAGTGTTCAAATATATTCTTAACAAAAGATCAAGATATACGTCTAGGTGAATGACCTTACTTTTTCATTCAGCTCTTAGACTTTATAATGTTTTAAGAGTTTGAATGACTCAATTTTGTAGTATGTTATCCTTATGTTGCGCATGTTCGATGCAGGTGATTTTGGTCTCGCTAAAATGTTGACTTCTGACGATCTTGCTTCCTCAGTAAGTAATACTGCAAAAATACCGTGTTATTTATCATTTCAGTTCTTTTTTTGGATTAGTAACTTTTTTTTGTTTTGGTTTTAAAATTAGATTGTTGGGACTCCAAGTTATATGTGCCCTGAGCTTCTCGCCGATATACCCTATGGCTCTAAGTCAGATATCTGGTCTTTGGGTATGATACTTCTTTCTTTTGCAATCCCTTTAGTCTCACTTTTTCTTTCCACCAATCTTACAATACGTTTTTAATTGCATTTCTAATTTGATATGACTTGTAATGCTATCCAGGATGCTGTGTTTATGAAATGGCGGCTCACAGACCAGCTTTTAAAGCTTTTGTAAGTCAATATCTTAAGCTTTTTCATTCACCATTTTTAAACAAATGAAAAGTTATTAGCAGAACTTTTTAAACTCCGTTAGTAGAGTTTACTGGTTTTGCAGTAGTTCTTTAAAAGTTAAAACTCAAACATTCACGTTGCTGTCCGAGACTTTGAATTATACTATTTTGGAAAGCATTTTCTTCTCATTATTTTTTGATGGATTTTTAACTTTCAATGTTTCATACTTCTAAAGCTTGGAGTGCAATGTAGAATTATTGACTTTTCTTTTGTTATTAATTTGTGTTTTGTCTTTGTCTGAACAGGATATACAAGCATTGATTCACAAAATAAACAAGTCTGTAGTAGCTCCACTGCCAACTGTGTACTCTAGTGCTTTGTGAGTCTTTGTTCTATAATAATCTTAAGTTATTATCCAACTATCCTTTTTTCGCATTTATATCAGTGCCCTTACCTACTAAATTTGAAAAGGGTTAACAGTTGGTTTATGCGAGCAAGAATACACGCATATGCTTACCGAATTAGTAATGAGTACTGACCATTCTATCCATCTGCTACTAAATTTTGATATGAAATTGGAAATTTATGTTTTCTTCCATGAACGAGTGCTCGTTTTGATGGTTAAGAGTCAGCTATCAAAACCTGACAGCATTATTCTAATTCTAAATGATCGATTCACATGACATTACCATTCATTGTGTAACTAATTGTGATATATTTATTTTTTTCAGCCGAGGGCTTGTCAAAAGTATGCTGCGGAAAAATCCAGAGCTAAGGCCAACCGTAAGTTTTATCTATTGAATATTCTATCCATTCATCAAGACCTGATCAATAGCTATGAATTGGTCTCTAAATAAATATGGTATGTGAATATTAATGTCTGTGGCATCTAATTGTATTTAAGTGATGAATATGAGCCAGATATCATCACAGTCTGATTAATCTTGATGCAGAATTTGATTTTGCGCTCTAACTTTTTCACTTTAATTTTTAATAATAATTTTAGCTTTTAATTTTTCACCTTATATGTTGTAAGTGCTTTATTCAAAACAACTAAAGCGTAGTTTGTTTTAACAGGCTGGAGAGTTACTAAATCATCCACATCTTCAGCCTTACATTCTTAAAGTTCACCAAAAGCTAAATAGCCCCAGAAGAAGTACTTTTCCGTTCCAATGGTCCGAGTCAAACTATGCAAGGAGAACTCGATTTGTTGAACCAGAATCTGTTTCTACACTTTCTGACCAAGACAGATACTTGTCCCTAAACAATCACAGGGCGTTGAATCCTAGTATTTCTGGAACTGAACAAAGTTCTCAATATTCAACTCAACGAGCTCAAGGATTATCCAATTGTTCAGAAGAGAAGCTCTATGAGTTATCTGCTCGCGGTGTCCGTGATTACTGCAATACTAACAAAACAAAAGTGATAAAGTCCTCAACTGGTGAGAGAACACCGAGACTTAGAGTAGCTAAGGATTCTGCTGGTACCAGAAGACAGACAATGGCGCCACCAAAGATATCGGCCACTGGTTCAAAGCGTGAATCAGTAAGTTTATCCTCTGCAAGGATCAATATTTTTTAATTTATATTTATACCATGATGATACATTAAGGCTATTTTATTGATTTCACTGTTTGGTTATCGTTTCAGCTTCCGGTACCTCGCGCACCATCTGGTAAATCTACCATACCAACTCGAAGAACATCCCTTCCGCTGCCTACAAGAGGCAGGAACACAACAAACTTATACACCAATGCTAGTTATGTGAATTCTCCCGATGTTTCTGTTGATGCACCCCAAATTGACAAGATCGCAGAATTCCCAATGGCTTCCTATGAGGACCCATTTTTCCATGTTATTCGCAGACCATCATCACCATCAGCCAAACGCTTTTCTACCTCAGCCGGGAGTGCTGATTGCACAATCACAAAAGACAAGTGTACAATCCTTGTGGACAAAGTTACTGTCCCCACTAGCATCACTAACGAGTGCTCTAACAATGATACCACTGGCGTTTCAAGCCACTCTTCACCTGAGTCGCGTCAGCATCGGTTTGACACCTCGTCATACCAGCAACGTGCTGAAGCATTGGAGGGGCTACTGGAGTTCAGTGCTAGGCTACTGCAACAACATAGGTTTGATGAGCTTGGTGTATTGCTGAAGCCATTCGGGATTGAGAAGGTTTCCCCAAGGGAAACAGCTATTTGGTTGGCCAAGAGTTTCAAGCAAAACTCTGATCTAAGGTTTTCAAATACACTTGCATGATCATTGTCTTTGGATAGTGTACATTAATATCTTTGTATATTTGTTATGAAATGACTATGCTTTGATATGAAATGGCTTTGATTATTTGCATTGGAATGTTCCATGAGATGTACATTGTTATGGTAATGACTATGCTTTATAAGGAATAATACTGAACATCAATTGTATGTTCGATTCACACGAGACACCTATAGTCCAACATGAGTACAACCGGTTCATCTTGTTTTTTTGGGCATATTTATATTTCGATTCTGTCTGGGACTGGGTGATGCCTCACAATTCCTCTCACATTTGGGTCATATTTTCATAGGGTAATAGCAAGAACACAAAAGGGACTGTGTAAGTTTTGTTCTAATTCTATCATCAATTTGCTTTTTCTATATGATGTAGCTAAATTTAGTGAATGTTTGAGTATCGTTCCAAATGTGAAGGGCATTTATTGATCTAGCCTAATTCGAAATGATAGATATATGTACTAAATATTATAATTATTTTATGAACTAATATTGCAACAAATAATTTATATCTAATTCAGTTTTATTTATTTTTCAAAGATAATGTTGTGAAAAATTAATAGAATAATTTAAAATAATGTAATAGAATAAATCCAATGCTTCTAACTATTTTGCAACATATAAGTATGATTTCTTAAAAAATAATCCACATCATCTTATTAGTTTATGTGTATAATTTCTACTAAACTATCAATCCAAATATCACTATCTCCCAACACCGTATGTAATAAACTTTGACTCTTTTCATACCAAAATCCCTTTTTCCTCTTCCATAATTCTCCAATATCTGACTACAAGTAACAAAAATCAGAGCCATAACGTGCAAATATACACTAGATAAAAATGTTATGTGGAAGTATGAATGGCAAAATGGATGGATTGGATGGATATGGATTGAATTGTTAATGGATGGATTAAAACAATTCATTAGTCCATTAACAATCTACTAAAGTTTTCTTAAAATTATCCAATACAATCTATCCATTAAGAATAAAATCCATCCGATCCATCCATTAACATATTTTTAATGGATGGATATCCATCCATCCAATTTTTTTTTATTTCGTAAAAATAAATATATTTTTTTATTATTTAAAAAATTAATTTTATTTTATTTTTGAAAAAATTATTTTTTGTATTTTAAAAAATATTATTTTTTAATATATTTATTTAAAAAAACTGAATTTTTGTATTTTAAAAAAAAATTGATATTTTAATTTTTGGAAAATATTAATTTTTTTCCAAAAAAAAAAGTCATTTTTTTTTTCAAAAAACAAATCAGTTTTTTATTCTGAAAAAAAAATCGATTTTTTTCCTAAAAAAAGTCGGTTTTTTTTCGAAAAACAAATCAGTTTTTTATTCTGAAAAAAAATTGATTTTTTTCAGAAAAAAAACATCGATTCTTTTTCCAAAAAAAAAACGTCTGTTTTTTTTTTTCGAAAAACAAATCAATTTTTTATTTTGAAAAAAAAAACCGATTTTTTTTTCAAAAAAAATTAAACTCTTTTTTTTCAGAAAAAAAATTCATTTTTTTTCGAAAAAAAATATAGTTTTTTAATTATTTTTAAAAAAAATCTATTTTTAAAAAAATAAATCTAACGAAAATAAAAATAATCTATTGGATTCTTAAAATATGTTGGATGAATTGAATCCATCCATGCATATAAATGGATGGATTTAATCCAATCCATTAACTTATTTTTTGTGTGGTGAATGAATTATATGGATTTTTTGATGGATGGATTAGATGGATTTTTCCTTAATGGATTCAATTGTCACCTCTACGTGGAAGTGGTCTCAAGTAAAACAAAAAGGTAATTAAAGCAAGGTAAGTTCCCATCACCCCCTAGTGTTGTAATTCGAGAAAGATTTGAATTTCTTTTATTACGGTTTGATTTTCAATTTTCGACCAATCGATTTTGAATTACAATTGTATCATTAGTTTTGTATGGGGTTGTTCTGGAAAAATTAGATTTTAGATTTCTCCAATTACGGTTCGATTTTCTCCTTTCTACAATTTCTTTCAATTTCTTTTATTACGGTTTGATTTTTAATTTCAGACTAATCGATTTTGAATTACAATTATATCATTAATTTTGTATGGGATTGCATCATTAGTTATGTGTACAATTGTTCTGGAAAAATTAGATTTTAAATTTCTCCAATTACGGTTCGATTTTTCCCTTTGTATCATTTCTTTCCGCAAATAGATTTTTGATTATGATATTGGTTCTGTTTTCTCCTTCCTACAATTTCTTTCAATAAATAGATTTTTAATTACGATTGTAACATTAATTATGTGTGAGTCTTCTTACAAGAATTCAATTTTGGATTTACTATTCGATTTCTCCTTCCCCTTCCAACCGTTTATGACAAATTAATTTGGGAGTAAGATTGCAGCAACAATTATATGTGTGGCTATTCTTACATAATTTGATTTTGAATTTCTTGGATTACGACTCAATTTTCGCCTTCAGTAATTCTTCAATAACTAATTTTATAGTTTCTGATAAATTAATTTTAAATTATATTTAAATAATTAATCATAGCTATTATTTTTAATAATCAAAATAATATTTATCATATTATTGTCAAATTATAAATAATAAACATAGATATTAAATGATTAATTAGATTATTTTCAATCAGATGTACACTTTTTTATTTATTAGTATGACATTTTGATTTTACACCTTTTAAATAAAAAAGATGTATTATATTTATTAATTATTATCTCAAATATTAGTTACACAGATATAACCAATGAATTGATTGACTTCAGTTACTCATAGTAGTTTAAGGTTCATTATAACTCATAATTTTTACCATTTAAAATAATTGAATTCAATTGCATTATACTTTTGAATTAATTCTATCCAATGTAATTTTTTTTATTATTATTACCAAATAATAAAATCGCATCAAATTGACAACTATGTATTTCAAATAACAGTAAAATATCATCAATTTCATTTGTGAAATAAATTTAAATAAAAATTATCTTGAAACTTTAATTATCTTTAAAACTATATTAACAATAAAAATTTAATTATAATTATCTTAAAACTATTTATTTTCTATTAATTGATAATATTATCATTTTATATACTATATTAATTATATAAATCTTTATCTAACATAAATATAATATGTTTTATATGTAAAAACATATAAATATTATTTATTAGCTGATCTTACCTGACCAGAAAGAATCAATGGCCTGCCACGCGTCGTTGGATTACTGTTTTCACCGGAGTTGTGGAGAAAGAGGAGGTGTACCTGCAAGACACTCTGATGCTTAAGTGAATAAAGAATCAGAGAGAAATCAAGCACAGAGATTAGGTGTGAGGAAGAAGTTACCTGACCCTATAGTGAAAGAAGGTATTTATAGTGTGCCCCCAGCGCAGGGCCAACTGTTACATTGTATTAGGCCAGACTACCAGGCCCAACCCAAGTAACTGCCATGGCTTACGTGACGTAGTGAAGATCGACACGTGGTCTTTGCCCTGGATGAACTGCCCCGTGATCTTCGGAAGGTGGGCTGACCAACTCTTTCGAAGGTGGGTAGCTGCCTGATGACGTGTCCGCGCGTGGGGGAAACGTGTTAGCCTCCTCGTCAAGGGAGTCGTTTGCCCGACATATATGCCTTGTTGAGGCTCGTGCCCGACAGAGGGGGATTGAGCCTTGATGGGTCTCATCAGCATAGTGTTGGGTTGGGCCTGCCTGGCTGAGGGGGAGGTCCCGACGCAGTCCAGAACAGGAGCCCCCAAAGTCGTTCCTCCGAGGTAGAGAAGTGACGACTTAAGGATAAGTCTTGGTCGAGGACAAATAAGAAAGGTGGTCATATGCCCAGAAGATGGGGTCGAGAGCCGTGCTCGTTAGAACATCATGTCGGGGAGGCAAAAGGTGACCGGGGCGCTAGCTTTCTGAGCTTGAGGGAAAATGAAGGGGCACAGTCACTCACGGTTGCCACGTGTCAGACGCCCATTGTCTCTCCTAGGGTAGCTATCTGTAGGGGTGCTTGAGTGCCTAAGGGCGCTTCGAGTTCTGTGCTAGGCTTATAAATAGGCTGGGGCCTGCCCCTTTGTCACTTTTCACTTCCAATTCTAACGAACATAACCTTTCCTGCTCCCCCACCGTCTACATTATCGTGCAATCGTTGCCGCCGTAACGTCCGCCGCAAAGTCCGCCACATCTCTACTCAAACTACTGTATCAAGTAAGTTCGTTCTTCCTTTCCTTCTGTTTCTTTATTTTCCGGCAACTCCTGCGGGGACACAATGAGTGTCTTGAGGAGGCTGCGGGTTTTCTGGCGATTACGACAGGATTCCCTTTACCAATGGGGCCTAGGATGACGCTCTCGGGGACGCATAATAGTTCTAGATAGACTCTCTGAGGAGAGATGATATGGCTAGATGAGAACCCCGGGAATATATGATAGGTTTAGATGAATGCCTTGGGGATATAGATGAATGCCCCAGGGACATACGATAGTTCTAGATGAATGCCCCGAGTTACATATGATAGTAAATAACACGGGGAAGTGGATGTCGAGGTTGGAGGAGCCTAGGTCGTAGATGTCGTCCCCTTCGTCCTTTCACTTGAGCTGTGGTGGAGGGGTGAATTTGATCTTGAAACGCTGAATTCACCATTTTCCTCTGCTTTTAAGGTGAATATGGTTGCGTGGATACCTGGAGTCATAGAAGTCGACCAAGAGTCAGAGTCTTCGGCAGCCCCGTCCGTGGAGGGGCAGATCGGACAGTCGAAGACTGGGCTGGTTCTGATTTTTCCTATTTTCTTTGTGTTGAGTCGTGGTTTTCCAATTTTTTTCACCTATTTTTATAAAAGCGAGCAAGAAAAGCATAACACGTGTCTCTTTACTTTTCATAGGAAAATCAGAGGTTTTTTTAATAGTTTTCTGTGAAATAAGTCGATTCGTGTCGATATTTTGAACGTAAATATGACACTTATCAATAATACAACAAAA